ATAACTACTTATATAAATTAATTAATAAAGATATGAGCAAGGCCTCACCTTAATACCAAAAAAAAAAAAAAAAAAAAACTCTGCCTTTTTGTTTAAATTCCAACTTGCATTTTTTTAATCTTTTAACTAATAAACAAATATTATTTTTTTGACTTTATACTTGTTATATTATATACTTTCTTTTATTACTTTTTATTATTATTATTATTATTATTATTAATTTTGTTGTTTTTGTTGTTTTTTTTTATTTATTTTTATTATTTTTTTGTTGTTTTTGTTGCCTCTTTTTATTATATTCTATCTTAGTTTTATTATTGTTTTTTTGCATTTTTCTTTTTGCTTTCTATATTTTTATACTATATATTTTCTATTTCTTGCTTCTAGTTTCTTTTTCTTTTTTCTTTTCTTTTTTCATTTATTTATATTCTTTACTCTCTGTATATTAAGTCAAGTGATATAGTTAACATCCCAAGGTTCTCTATGTTACAATATAATTAATATATCTAAAAAATACTTTGATACTGAAGATGATATACATCATAATTACTAACTTTTAGATAGCTTTGACTAAAAATTATGTTTAATTTAGTTAAAAACAAGACTAATGCTTAATATATTAAATTCAGTCAAAAAGAGCTACTCTAAAAATCATTAATAATTTATATATTAAATAAAAACTCCTATATGTTTTAAAGCTGCACCTTAATTCTAAATATATCTAAAGTGGTGATGATTATAAGTTATTTTGATAAAAATATTATATTTTATAGTATATTTAAACAAGTATTATATTTAATTACAAAGTTAATTTGTATAAAAAATAATATAAATTATATTCTAAGTTTTTTAATACTTAATATATACAATATAATATAAAAATTAAATTTAAAAAAATAATTTAATTAAGCATAGCCAATAAAAATTTATAATTTGCGCATGTACTTAAACATTAGAACAATTATTTTACCATTCTTTAAATATCTAAAATTTTCAGAAATTAGAATCAAGAATCGATACAAGATTATATTTAAAATCGAAGAAATATAAACAAAGTTTGGAAATTGAAACTTTTTTTTTTTAGAAGTGTGTCAATCTTTAATCCTTGATTTATAGATATAACAAATTATGAATAAAGATTCTAAAACCGTTATAAGATGATCGATTTTGTATGTTATATACTAGTTAAAATTGTTTAGCATATATGCAGTATTTTATCATACGAATACTTTTATAAGCATACGTAATAGATATCCATTCAACAATATATATATATACTAGTGTAAAGTATGAATGCGGACAAAAAAAAAAAAAAATGAAATGATTTAACTGCTAACATCAAGAAATTATAATCGGTATAAAAGGAATAAAAAGATCCGAAAAATGGAAACGTCATCGTAAAATGACTAAATCTTTGTCATACAACAATTAATAATGTAATATGTATAGATTGCTGCTCTTATTATACGGATAAGTTTAATTCCCCAATTCATTTGTTTCATATATAAAAGAATTTATAAGATTAATAATTGCAAGATGAATAATACAAGTATATATTTTAAGAAAAAAATACAGTAAATAGAGAAATGTAAGCACATCATATGAAAGAATCAAAAATAAATTTAATTTAGGATTTACATAATTGTAAAAGGTGAAGAGAAAGAACGAAACGGTTAATTTAAAACAGAAAATCGCACCCATACATTCTACAATGTATATATATTAATCTATATATTTATATATGGAACAAAAATCGAAAGTTAACCATAAGCAATTGCATGAACGATTACCAACCCTAACTACCTAAATTAAGTTTGAACAAAGAAACAACGGTGATATGTAGTCACATACCCTTCGTACTACTTTAGATCATCGAGAGAAGTATTACGTCATCATATGTATATTTCTAAAAAGAATTTGTATACGTACACAATAATGAGTAGCTTGGGAAATTCAATAGGAAGGGAAAAGATTATAGAGTCTAAGCATTTTTGTTATAAATATTGTTAATCTATTCAGGAAACATTTAAGAATTATTATAAGGAACAATTATTAGGAGGGTTTAAATTGTATTGTGTTTTAATGTAACTTTTGTAGCGCAGTAGAAATCAATAATAATAACGATAATAATATAGATAGTAACAATGATATAGTAGTAATAATAGTAAATACCGTACGTAGGAGAATCACGATGTGCATGAGAAAAACAAAACCAAAAAACTAAATATATTTTGGACCGTTAGATACTGTTGTACTATACAAAGGATAATGATAATGATTGGATAAAATTTCGATCGTTTGTAACACGATAAATTTTTGTCACAATTCACAGCAGTAACGGTAACAATTACAGAATTACGAATATATTTTATGTTCGTGAGCTGTAATCTTATCAATGCACAGGGATCAAGAAAAATAATGTCACGGGATTAACAAAATTTTAAAGATCACATAGATCCTTCACTTTATTCGACTTATTAGTATATACAAAGGCCAAGTAGTTTCATTTAACACTTTTTTACGTATTTGATTGGTTTTTTAAAAAATATACAAATTGGACAATACTCATAAAACTTACTAAAATTGGATAAAAATTTACTAATATATACATAATTTATTATAAATTGTATATATATATTATATGCATATATATATGATATATATATATATTATATGCATATATATATGGTATATATATTCTATATATTCACTATATATGTAATTATATAATCTATATATACATATATATATGTATATACGTATAACTATAAAACATTTCATATATAATTTATATATCTGATATATATCAGATATATATCTTTATGTAATCTATGTAACTATGTAATATTTATATAGTCATAATCTCGTGTAATCGCAGACCATAAAATCGAATTGATATTAGTGTTAGTAATAAATGTTATTAAAAATATAAATTGATATTTTTTGGAATGACGATAATGGCGTGCATTATTATACAAAAGTGGTTAGGTTCATCCGAATTGATTTTAATAAAGATATACACGCACTGGCTTAGTTTTTTTTTTGTATAACTTATATCATAAAAGTATAAAAAAAAATTCATAATGATACGATATCAAGGAATGATTGGAAAAATCAGACCGATTCAAATATCGCTATTCACCGTTTACACCGTTTAGAGTTAAAAAACACGTGAGACAGTATTCCGGGAATCAATGAATAAATTTGGATTCATACATAAATTGATAGACCGAATTAGAAGCTTACACGACAGAGATATCAAATGCCTTATGCATAATAATGTAGTGATTCAGTTAAGGTAGTACCATTTGTATCATTTACCGCGTTTCTAATATATTTGGATCTAGAGATAAGCCATAGAGTAAATATATTTTTATATTAAGAGGAAAAATGATTACACCGCATTTTTTAACGGCAAATATCCCCAGTAAGAAAATCACAAATAAATTTGTAAAATTTTCAAAGGGTTTCACCACAACTCACAAGATCTGCTTATTTTATGCATGTATCATCATAGGTATAATAAATAAAGATAAATTGATAGAGAAAACCCTCGAGGAGGCTGAATGCAGAGTTTTAGACCTGCGAGATTTCCCAAAATAGGTGATTATTGATCGAATTTTTTTCCCAAGAATTTTTTTCTTAACGTTGCAAAAAATATTCTGCAAACAGCCACTCAATACTAAATTTGCACTTGTTCCATTTTCTCATAAATAGGACCAATTTTCCTCTTACAGTCTCTAAACCGAAATTTTAGAAAAAAAAAACAACCGATTTTTTTATCAAAAAAAAAAAAAATTTTTACATATACGTATCAATAATAATCGGTAAACAGCCACTTAATACTAAGCCTGCGCCTACCTACCAATTTTTTCATAAATAGGACCAATTTCCCTCTTTTTTGAACATAATTTATAAAAACTTTTTTTTTTATAACAAAAGAAAAATTCAGGGCATATAAAAATTAATAATAATGTCTACTATGGAACAAAAGCACGGAAAAGAAAGTATACGAGCACTTTTATACTTTGCAGTTATGACGGTATTCGTTAGAGCTTCTTTGGCTGGTCCATCCTTAAACATACCATCATACGAAACTTTAGTAGAACCTTCAGAAATACTTTCCGCCCTGGATTTATCAACTAGCGATGAGTCAATGAGCTCGACAACATCTGACAAATTAGACTTAATTCCACATTCAAATAAGGCAGGAATATTCGGAACTTTTCTGGCCAGTACTGCCGCTCTACTTAAAGGTCAATCCACGTAACTGAGAAAAAAATTCCGAGAAAAAAATTTTTTTTTTAAAATTATAAATCATTAACTTCAATTTTCGATTGGACGTAAGAGAGCCGTTGGTGAACGGAGTAGTCTCTTTACAAGATTACTTGTAAAGAGTAAGTTTCTAAATTAAAAATTACATTATCAATCATTTTTAATTTGTTTATTTTGAGTGGATAAGCGGTAACATTACGTAGTAATGATAATGTTTAAAAAAAAAAAAAGCTACCCTTTTTCTTTTACAGGAAAAGAATTATAATACATTTCTACCCCAATTTTCTTGCACGAATAATATAGATAGTAAAAATAGAATACGTATAACATTTTAACCATTTTAACCATTTTATATATTCGATTTATATATATATATATATATTATGTTTAGTATTAATCTTTTCGAATATTTGTACAAATTATTAAAAAAAAAAAAAGATTCGAAAAAAAAAATTATGTATTGGTATAATTACTCTTAAAAATCGTAAATAAACCTTTGAGAAACTCTAGAACATGATATACGAGCGTATCTACTTATCTACTGCGTAAATTTAACTGTTAAATACTGTACGTATATATGTATATATGTATATATGTAAAGTACTGTACCTATGTATATATCAGTATATATATTACATATCAGATACGTATTACAGGAACAGGTCATTACTATCGCTATCGTTATTACCGTAACTGTATTCGAGAGCTAATCGTAATTCAGTAAAGTAATTTCACATGAAAATCAAACGATAGTCCATATTTTAAGAAAACTCGTTTAATTTGATCTTTTTTTATAAATAAAACAATCATTTCTTTAACAGTTAATTCTTTATTTTTGTTTTGTTATTGATTCGTATTATTGATTCGTATTATTGATTCGTATTATTGATTATTGATTCGTTAATATTATTGCAGTCATGTTTGTTCTCTTTGTATTATCTCATCCCTTTGTAAATAGATTTACGTTATGATAGCCTAGATTTTTTGAAAAACAAGATCATCTGTTTAACCACTCTAAAATAATTGTTTTCATAATCAAAAATTTTATTGTTTCATAGAAATTCGAAAGAGAATTTCCTAACTGTTGATCGCAACCTCTTCCTGTCCATCGCTACTTGAAAAGTTTTAAACAAAGCCTTCATAAGCCACCACTATTACTTTGGAAAAAACGGTTTTTATTTAAACTCTAGGTATTCATTCATATGCATATTCTAATCTATATACGTTTACCAACATTTCTATACTGGTTGGATACTCTTCTTACGTATTATAATATATATATGTCATACGTATATATCTATATATATATATTTATATAGCATATACGTATATTGATTTATTTATACGTATATTTATTTTATTTCAATAAATAAAATAAATAATATATATATATATATATATATATATATATATATATTTATATAAGTTTACATGTGATGGTTAATAATTAAACTATATGACTCAATATTTGAATTAAATTTAAAAATGGAATTATAATAAGCTTTTATACATATTTTTCTCCGGTATCGGGATTGCAATCCTTATTTGCTGCCGCAATAAGTCTATCTGTATACATTCAAGAAATAAAATACACTGCAAATTTCTTAATGGTTATCTTCCTCAAAAAGTACTACGTATGTACGTACACGTATGAACTTTAAACTCAAGTGATACTATCTAATATTTTATGGAAATTGAGTTACATTTTTATCAAATTATCGAATCTTTTTTAATCTTACGTAGAAAACGGCGCTGAATTCCGGTTATTTAAATTAAAAATTATTCTTTATATGTATATAGTATAAATATATATTATGTTTATATAATTTTTATTTAATACATGACCTAAAAAAATCTTTATTCTTATCCAAATTTTTTTCTTTTAAAAAAAATTGTCGGCTTTAGTATTCTTACTGTGATCCGCAATAAATCAATTTTTAGAACGCAGAAAATCACAAGACAAAATGTACAGTTAAAATTTTTATTATTGATTTCCTAAAAAAGGTACATAAATATATAATTTTATTTTATTTCAATCTTGCCCATGTGATCAGTGTTAGCCAATTAGACTAATGTTGCTCTCTACTAGGCTTATCTTAAGGCTTATCAACTAGTTTAAAAAAAGAATCATCATATTTTAACGTTAAATCTCATACGTGATGTACTGTAGCTTTAGGGATTTTCTATCGACAAACAAATATTCCGCAATTTTTCAACTTTAAATTTTTTTTAAATTTCGTTTAATAAACATATCGGTGGTCTGATTCTAACGCTAATAACCAATTTGGCCTAAAATTATCTTTTTATCATTTTAAATAAAATTTCCAAATTTATTCCAAATTTTCACAATTCTAATAAGATTTTCATATCCAGGGGTTAGAATAAGATAATGTGTGTTCTGTTTCAGGTAGTAATCTCCTAGTTTTAAAACTGGCTAAAGGTCAGAATGATGAAAAGTCTCGAAACTATACAGTAACCAGCTTTGAAAATCCATTCAAATCTGTGTATAAACGTTGATATTATTACATATGATCTGAGCCACACAAACTCTACACAATTAAGTAATTCCATAGTATATATTACTATAATTCGTTTTTTAATAATTACACAAGATTTTCTTCAATGATAACCTACTTTTTCAGAAATTTATTCAAAAAATTGAGTCTAGTAGATTTTAAATTATTTCTTTGGAATATATTGTATAGTATGTATCGGTATCGGTATGTAAATTATTTAACTAATTTTATTATTTTTTAATGAGTACTCAAATTGAAAAAAAATCTAAAAGTTAAAATAGATAAGGATAGATTTGTAGTACTAAAAATTTCTATTAACTTTCAAATACGTAATTATCTTAACGAAAAAAATAAATTTTAGTTTGTTAAATTCGTTTCTTGTAACATGTAATGCATTCTTGTAACATGTAATACATTCTTGTAACATGCAATGCATAGAATTCATTAATAACTTTTATATTGCCAATTTCAATATCCAATTCCAATTCTCCATTCTGTCTATTCTGACTCCCGCATATTGATCATGTGCATGTTAATATATTATTCTCCACTCGGAAACTTTGCATTCATCTGTTAAACATTGACCAAGATTATATAGTAAACCTTTATACTCACCGACGTCGTCGGGGCGATCACGGTGGTGATATCCGAAAAATCAAATGATGATTTGTTACTGCTCCAATTTTGCTACGTCTCAACGTAATATGGGGTACAGGCACGAAGCCACTTTTCCGAAATGAGGTAATAAGTAATTTTAGGTAGCGTTCTACAAAAAATTGTTCACCCCTGTAATTTTTGACAAATCAAATTTAAGATAGTGTAACGTGATAGTCAAAACATATGAGCCAGGGGTTAGTCAAATATTATTTCGAAAGATTCCCGACGCAAAATTTCGATTATTTTCACAAATATTTTGATAAATTTTGATAAATCTTGCTAATATATATTTAGATAAATTTCAATTATATACGTAAAAATTTAAATTTAAAATACATATGTTACTGAGTATAATATTTAATTCGTGATCCGCGAGAGAACCAGAGAAATTTACTAATAGAATTAAATCCTAGTTTGTATCAAAAGTAGCACAATCGATTACAATAAAACCAGGAGAATCAAGTATTGATATTTTTTTTAAAAAAACATTCTTTTATTAAAAACTTAATATTGGGAAAACATCAAATTCCACCCTATATTTTTTTATGATTTGGATATACAGTATATGTATATAGACTTTTATTAGTTATTATCATAAATTTTCATTTGTGCATATCTTGCTATTCAATTTTGAATAGTAGACACTTTTGAAACATCACTTTTTTCTAAACTACCAATTTTACCAATTTTATTAATTCTTTTTGCATTTTTTCTGTACTATATTTATTATTTTTATTAGTGTTACTCACCAAAAAATATCCTTCCAAATAAACTATTACATGTTTACTAATTCTTTTACCTACATTTTTTTTTCTAAATTTTTGATTCTTCTTTAGTATCCATTCTAATACTAGTGGAAATTCTTTATACATACTTTATTTAATGATATATTATACTGTACAACTTTATAAGTCTAAGTTTTGTATATAAAAATAATATAAACAAACTTAGTATTATCTTTTTTTTTCTTTGGTTTTTGTAGATAGTTAACTACCAAGTAATGAGAAGTAATACCTAAAAACATAAATCAAATAACTATATAATTTGTAAAAAAATATACCAATAATTATAATAGAATAAACTACAGAAATTTGGGAGTTAAATATTGAGAAACTTAAGAATTTGGTTTTTGTATATTTTTTTTTAATTTATCTAATTTTGCTAGTAAAAAATTAATTTATTTATCAATATTAAGCATTATACAGGCTCAAATATATCTTGCATAATTACCATTATACAGCCAATCTCATAAGAACCAATTCAAATTATCTAGTAAAGTGTTGATTTATTTTTTATCTAAAGCTAATAAAAGATTAATTTATTTGTTACTTTAAATCTCATACAGTCGAACCTCTATAATTGCACCCTCTCAGGACCATAGGACAAATTTTTAAAAATGTTCATTTAGAGAGGGTGTGTATTTTTAGAGGGTATTTTTACTATGTTTTTATATATTTGGGACCAGGCCAAGGCATCCATTTAGAGAGAATTTATATATGGG